AAAAATTAGCTGGGTGTGGTAGCGCGCCTGTAGTTCCAGCTACTTGGAAGGCTGAGGTGGAAGGATCGCCAGGTCAAGGCTGCGGTGGCCGGGAGTGGCCACTGCACTCCAGTCTGGGCAATGGAGTGAGACTCCAACTCAAAGAAAAAAAAAAAAAGACTGAATTTCAAGGACAGTGTCAACAATTTGATATAGCCATTAGAAATGGGCCTCAGAACTGAAGGTGGTATAGCATTAGCTTGCTGGTCATTTATAAGCTGTGCAAAATGTAAAACAACTTCTTAATTTTCCTTTGTTGGTAGTTGTTTGGTTATATTTACCATGATAGTGGCCCTGTTTTATATTATTCCCTAGAATTTCTCATCTGAAATAATTAATTTTGCTGTTATTAAGCATTTTGGCTAAATTATTGCTTCTGTGTACCAAATGTTACTTATCTGGTGGCCCTAGTGAGATAATGCTCCTTCTCAAAGTGTCTAACCTATTTCTCTTTAGCATTTTTCCACAGGGAGAGAATTTAGCTGATAAGGAATTTCACATGTATTATGTATATTTTTTCCCTGAGGCTCTATTCTAAAATGCATTCTATATTATTCTATATAATTTAAGGAGAGTAAACAAGGTGATTTTGTACTTGACCTTTCACCCCAGGTGTAATAAAAACAAGCTGTTCTCTATTTCTGCTTCCTCTAACTTTTCTGTCATGATATTGTGAAGTTTGGATGGGAGAACCAATATCTTCTTTTTTCAAGAACAATTGTAGTCATGGACTTTTTCTTTTTGAACTTAGTATCTAAAACCTGAGAAATAGTTTTTACTTTTCCTCAATATTCCAGGCTAATAATGGATTGCTTTTGCCTATTAGGAAAGTCATATCTCATCATCTAGTTTAAGCAACACTTCTCCCAAGTATTCTGGCACTAATGAAGCTAGGAGACTTAAAGCATGGCCTGGACACTGTTAGATTTGGCTTACCTTTTCTCAGTGAGTTTTTTTGTTTTTGTTTTTTTGTTTTTTGAGTTGGAGTCTCACTCTGTCGCCCAGGCTGGAGGGCACCCCAGCGTCGACCTACTGGGCTCAGGCGATCCTTCTACCTCAGCCTCCCAAGTAGCTGGAACTACAGGCATGCACTACCATGCCCAGCTAATTTTTTATTTTATTGTAGAGACAAGGTCTCGCCAAGTTGCCCAGCTAATTTTTTATTTTATTGTAGAGACAAGTTCTCTCCAAGTTGCCCAGCTAATTTTTTATTTTATTGTAGAGTCGAGGTCTCACCGAGTTGCCCAGGCTGGTCTCGAACCCGCAGACTCAGGCACTCCACCCGCCTCGGCCTCCCAAAGTACAGGGATTACAGGCTGAGCCACCGAGCCCTGCCTCAATGAGTTTTTGAGATCAGCTTCTCTGCCTACATTCTTAACACCTGTATACCCTGGCTCTGCATTTCTAATCATAGATAGCTGTCAATTTTCTGTACATAGAGATCGTTGACTTTTGTTCCCATCAAAAAAAGAGTGGATAACTATTTCTTGGTTAACAAGCAAGTGTGTGAATAAAGAGGTCAACTCTTTAAACCCATTCTAACTTAAAATTCTGTGATACAGAAACAAACTGCAAAGGTAGTACATACTATTGGAGAAACACCAGAGGAAGGGTAATATGAGAGATTTTTTAAATTTGCGATGAAGTTGAGAAAGCATTATAGAAAGATACAGTAAGAAAATAGAAATTTTGAATAGTATGTTCTAGCTGCCTGTAGCCATATTGGAAAAAAAAAAAGGTTTTACTTTAGCATATTAATAATGATAAGTCACATCTAAGGCCATTTGATGAAAATAACTCTCCCAACCTTGAATACTAAGAGCACTAAGCTGCCTTGGTATAAAGCTTAAAGAAAATAGGGATCATCTGCCCCATCTCCTTTAATTCCATATGGACTTGGCAGTGACCAAGCTTCAGAACTCTGTTTAGAGAGAATGTTCTAGCACCACCTACAAATTGCCTTTCTTTAATTTGTGCAATTTGCCAAGAGACATATATTATGAAGTTTAATAAAATTATATGGAAGAAAGCTCATGTGGTAATTGCTATGTTGATTTAAGTTTCCATAAGTGCAATGAAACATAGTTACCATGCATATAAATGCTACTTAATAGCTATTTAACTAAAGATTTTATTCTTATTTGGGGCTTTCTCTTAAATCCCATGACTTGTAATTTTAGATATAGCAGATCTTTGATATAGAATATTAATATAATTGGGAAAGTGGAAGGAGTTGCACAGATCTGGCCTGGCATTTGAGCAGCCAGAGAAAGCTGCTCAAATGCCAGGCCAACATGAAATTGTCCCAGACTTATTCCAATGAAGAGTAGGGTTTGGAAAACACTATCTCACTGCTTTTTTGTAAGGAATATATAATAGTGTACATCTCCACAAGCCAGCATCTTTTTTTCAACCCTTCCTTCCCAAAGATGGGCAGGCCTGAAACAGGTCTTAGTTTCAAGGTATTTAAGTTTTGTGCTTGGTGATATGTCTGTGTCAGATCGAGGAATCTGTGCGGAGCATGGTAATGCGCTACGGAAGTCGGCTGTGGAAATTGCGCGTCCTCCAGGCAGAACTGAAAATCAACATTCGCCTGACACCAACTGGAAAAGCAATTCCTATCCGCCTCTTCCTGACAAACGAGTCTGGCTATTACTTGGACATCAGCCTATACAAAGAAGTGACTGACTCCAGGACAGCACAGGTACAGTAGTCAAGCAGACTCCTCAGAGTTTTGATTTGGTCCTACAGATAAGCCACTTGTCCTTGTTATAGGACAAGACCCAAACTAACAAATCCCATTAGTTTACCTGGTGGGATTAGTCTATATGAGCTTAAATGGTTCTATGAATTTGAAAACTTCATTTGCCTTATAAAATGTGCCTATGTGGATATCATGGATGTTATAAAACGCTCAACCTTTTGTCACATATTGGTGAGCACTGAGATGCCTAGTGAACCTGACTCTAGTGGTTCCACAATTTAAGGCTCTTTTAGAGGGCTCGTGGACTACTTCGGCAGTTTAGTCTTTTCTTTCCTATATTTTCAGTGGAGTTAAACCACTCGTTGGCAAGTAAACAAAGGGGAATTGTTGGAATATATCATCAATTTCTATGTTAAAGAAAGAAAATTTCAACATACTATAGTTGCATAGGCACTATCAAGCAGTGATGTTGCCATATTTATCTGTTATGCTATTCTGTTTATACACACATCTTTCCTTCAGAGTTCAGGCTATCATATTATACAAAAGCAAAGTGGCAAACTCTAACCCATTTTCAGGTAGAAAAATTGAGAATGTGAAAATTAGAAAGTGACTCAGTAGACTGATTTTTGATAACAGAGAATTCTCTTTTAATGTTTACTACCTTAGTTTCTAACTATTTTTTGGCCATTTGCTATAATACTAGATTTAAGTTGGTTTAGCATTGCTCACATCTTTTAAGAACTGGGACATTATTTTAGAGCTTTGCCCTGAACTCTAGAGGTGCATTCCTTCTGATTAAAGGATGACCGTACTCCAGTATATATAAGTAAGGGTTTCAGTCTATTCTGTGTATTGGGTGCCAGGGAGAGATTATATGTCTCTTGTTTTTATCTATATCCATATAAATCCAGAAATAGAAATAGGAAAAGACATTTTTGTCAGTCTTTTGAAGATGAATTTTTTAAAAATCTCAATTTGGACAGTTGTCAGAATGACCTTTCATTTTGTACTTTGATTCCCAGTTAGATGGCTAGAGAAATCTATCCTGTGAGAAATGAGCGGTTAAAACAGAGAGCGAGCATGCAAGACCTGAGTGGTGTATGAGAAAGAGTATTTGATAATTTTTGCTGCATTTGATGTCTTTTAGGACAACCTTAAAAGACATTTTCAGTCAAAGCTTTCCATGGGCAGGGATGTTTTTAATTAACTTCTACAATGGCTTCAAGGCAGGTCTATTCTTGTGAAAAATAAGATGGCCACTTGAGATTTTAATGCTTTTGATAAATGTTTGTTCTCATAACTACTTTTTTTCCCTTTCTTTTACTAGAAAGCTCTGAGATTTCCTTCATGCTGGCTAGTGGTGACACAGGAGCATGAAAGGCACAGAGCCCTTCAATCAGGGTTTAGTACTGTGCTTGGTGCACTAAATAAGTGCTCCATAAGTATCTGAGAGAATGAAAGAGCCACCAGCCTGAAGGGACACCCCTTTTACTAAGGGTCCTGCGTATTTAAGAAGCCCTGAAAGAAGAGGTCTTTCTCAGGTGCTTCAATTGAGAGAGTTCAAGGAGCCAAACTGCATGGGAACTAACTTTGTAAACCCATGACTGGAGGTGGAAACTGAAGAAGGAGCAGCTTCTTACCCAGTTCCTGTGCTCCTAATGCCTACCTCGTGCTTACTACCAAATGATTTTTCCCTTTCTTTAGTGCATCATACATGAATTTAAGATAATACAGAACCATGCCTGTTGTTCATTCATTTGGTCTTTAGTTTAACATTTATTGACTACTTATAGTGTGTCAGACACTATGCAAACAAAGATAAAAAGCAAACTCTACTCGAGAACTTTACATCACAATGAAGAAGTCAAATAATTTCACTGTGGCATGTTATGTGCTATCATATACTAAGTACAGGTTTCTAAGGCAGCAGACTATATGGGTCAGAGGTTGTTTTCTTTTTTTTTTTTTTGGAGTCGGAGTCTCACTCTGTCACCCAGGCTGGATTGCAGTGGCACGCTGCTCACGACCACCACAGCCTCCACCTGCAGGGCTCAGGCGATCCTTCTTCAGCCTTCTAAGTAGCTGGAACTATAGGCGCATGCCACCACACCCGGCTAATTTTTTTTTTTTATTATTATTGTAGAGATGAGGTCTCGCCAAGTTGCCCAGGCTGGTCTTGAACCCGTGGGCTCAGGCAATCCTCTCACCTCGGCCTTCCAAAGTGCTGGGATTGTAGGCGACAGCCACTGCGCCCGGCCAGACCAGAGGTTTTCTAAGAGAAGCCTTTTTGATGGCTTCTGGTGAAAGGTGTGTGATATATAAAATATGTACATATTTTCATGAACTTGTAAAACATTTTTTCTGTTTTTAATTACTGTGTTTATTATAGTAGAAAATAGAATTAACATAAATGAGCTGAGAATTCAGGGACTTGCATTACTATCCATTACCATCAACCTCTTGCCCTAGCACATTATTTATTTAGTCACCCAATAAGGAACAAGGTTGACTGGTTTGAGTTTTATTTTGTTTTGTTTTCTTTGTGGAGTCTTTGTGATGTCAGGCATTCATAGTGGGGAAAAGAGATTTGGGTAGTCGATTGCACAAATGAGTTGATTTCCAGTATATGGTGTAAGTGGGAAATAGCATTTTAAAGTCAGCTTTATTGAGGTATGGTTTACATATAATAAAATGGACCCACTTTATGTGTGCAGCTCAGTTCATTCTGGCAAATGTACGCACTGTATGCACTGTGTAACTACTGTCACAATCATGGTAGAGAACATCTTGTCACCCCAAAAAGTTGTCTCAATTTCCTTTGTAGTCAAAATAGAGGTACCAACCCCAATCTTAGGCAACCACTGATCTGCTTTCTACCATTATATATTAGCTTTGCCCATTCTAGAATTTTATATAAAAGAAATCAGACAATGTGTACTGTTTTGTATCTGACTTCTTTTACTTAGCATGTTTTTGAGTTTCATCTATATTGCATAGGTTATAAGTATGATCGTTTTTGTTGCTGGGTGGTATTCCATTTTATGAATTTATTGAAATTTTTATATTCACTTAGCTGTTGGTGAACATTTGGGGTTTTATTTCCCAGTATGAGCTATTAGTATTAAGGCTGCTGAGAACATGTCTTTACAAACCTTTGTGTAAATATGTTTTCGTTTCTCTTGAGTGAGTACAAGAAGGTCTCAACTTTATAAGTTAAGCATACACTTACTATGCTTAACTTACTATGCTTAATAGATTGTTTGACAAAATGTTTGTACCACTTTAAATTTCTACCAGCATTGTATGTACCAAGATGGCTTTCTCCCACCCTCTTCCTTAGTGCACAGCTATAATACTTAACTATGACCAGTCTATCTTTATCTCAGAGCTTGGCAAAACTGAGTCTCAAACTCACAGATCCTGTCTCTCTTAACAGACAAGAAATATAGTTCTAAGAACCTGCTGCTTTTTCCCCCTTTTCTTATTTTGAGTCTGCTTACCGCCTCTGAGTCCAGTTTTTTCATATTGTTCCTTGACTTACTTAACACAATGAATTTCTTAAAACAGTGTCTACTCTCACATCCCTAAGATGGTGACTTTTCCACCTCCCACATGGTGACTTTTCCCACTGGTCTTGTGGAAGAGGACTGGGAACTCTAGTCTGTGGGCCTTTAAGCAGCCTGAGAGAAATTTTGCCCAGAATAGGACCTGATTGATAAATCAGCAGAGCACTTTTATTCCTCTGAACCAAGAAGTTAAAGATTCACTTAGCTGAACTCTACTATTTAGGAAAGTATTTAAATCTATTCCTACCTACATATCAGGTACACAAATCTATTTATTAATGGTAAACTTGTGCTTATTTTTAAGACCTGAATAGATATGTGGGTATACACATATCCTTACATTCCAATCTCCATTTGTATTCACTGCATTGGGACTCTATATTGTATGTATTCATGCATAAAGTGCCTAGTTTAGTGTTATACAACCTCTGGGCACTCAATAAATATTAATTGAATTGAAATTATGGCATCCTTTATAAATATTCATAAGCAAATAAAACTATCTAAATATATGGAGTATGAAGTACTCTTCTAGAAATAGTTGAGTAAAAATGATTAAAAACCAGTGTAGTGATTTCATTATATGGCAATATAGCCATTCACTTGTTGTAGACAGTATTCTGGGGGAAAGACATATACATGTGTATATATTTTTAATACATATAATTTAATAAAATATAGTTATTTTACTGGAGGCTATGTCTTATGAACTAACAGAAATTAACTGTCTACATGGATGGATGAAATCCACTTCTGGCAGAAATCTTTGAAGCCTTTGTGTGACTAATAATATTTATGAAGCACCTTCTATTCAAGTGGACTAAACCATAGATGATTTAATAGAGCCTTGATCTGATCTTCTACCACTGGAGAAAGAAGAGAATTATCTTTAGTGTATAGCTGTTCCTTACCTTAAATACTAGGACTGCTGAGACTGGTTAGTTGATAAACTTCATTTCTAAGTTTATGGGATTCAAGTCACTTTAGAAGGCAAGTATTTTCAGTCTGTCTCTGAGATGTGAAATTTACATTGTGCTTTCTTGTTGATTTCAACTAATCTAAAAGTGAGAACACTTTGTAGGTATGGCTGGTTACATACCACTTTTTTTGGAGTTAATCTATAGAGAGGTGATAGCACTAAATACCAAATGTTAAAAGGTATGTCTCAGCTACTTGGCCCACCAAAAATGTTTTTTAGGAGATAATATTTGTGAAAAAAGCCCCTCTAGGCAGCTGTCTGATTTTTTTCTTTTTCTCTGTCTCTTAACTCTCCATTCCATCCTTTTTTTCCCTGCAGATCATGTTTCAGGCATATGGAGACAAGCAGGGACCACTGCATGGAATGTTAATCAATACTCCCTATGTGACCAAAGATCTGCTTCAATCAAAGAGGTTCCAGGCACAATCCCTAGGGACAACATACATATATGATATCCCAGAGATGTTTCGGCAGGTAAAGTTAGCTAATCGGGCTCTGACATATTCCTAGGAAGCAAGATTTTCCTGAATTTCCGTCAGATGCAGCTTTGACTAGAAAGAGGTGTTCCCAAAGGGCAGGAAAATCTTGACACTGTTTTTATTTCTGTTTCATCCGGGGATTGGTGACTGCCAACCCAGATATTGGATGGTTCTGTATGAATTAATAGGAGGAATGGTGAAAATAGAAGTCTCTGAGTAGGAAAGAGTAAACTAAGACCACATGCCTCTAGTGGTAGCTTACAGTGACCTATGTGAGGAGTTACATATATATTCCCCGAGTCTATATTCAGATTATGGATATTAAAAAAAGAGGTATGAATCTCTAGTTCTCATTTTCCTATTTTCCAAGATAACCCAGTCTAGTTGATAGCCTAGGTTAATATGATGAGAATCAATATAGATAGCATAGACAAATGGATATCGAGTTTATGGTATACAGTTTAAAGTATAAGTTCCTTTGTGGGAGATTTATTATAGCTGAATAAAAACTAGCATGAGAAAATATGACATTATGAATCTCATCCTCTATATGAAAATAAATTCCTTCGATCTGTATGGTGAATCATCTCTGGGCTGCAGATTTTTCTTCTATCAATAGAAGGCAAGAAAAGTATATCACCAGCAGAAAATGTAACCAATAAAGCATAAGGTATCAAAAGAATACTGAATTTGTTCTTTAAAAAAATTTTTTTGAATATAGAATTTTTCCAAGTCTTCTAGTCAAATACTTCCAGTATTACCACATTTGAATTTTGGTAAAATAATATGTATGGCCTCAGTAAATAGTCTATCTGGAATTCCTGTGTTGTTCACAAATGCACGCAATTACCTTCATGTAGCCATTTGTTTGCAAGTTCTCTCTCTTGAAACATAGCTATCCTTCATTCATTATTTCCCTTTTATAGCATTGTTAGCCCAAAAGCAGGGTTTGGTTCCATTTCCCAATGCCAGTGCTATAAACAGAAATCCCATTCTATGTAATTCTTCCTATATAATAGACATAAACACAGTGTTCAAGACATACAGGTATGTATAAGTCATCTGGCCTTTAAATGTTGCTTTGAGGCAAAGAAAGAAGGAACTAAACTAGCTCCCACTTCATCAAGGATTTGTTTTATCTGTGGAATGTTGGAAATGGAAATTACAGTGATTGTGGGTTTTTTTTTTTTTTTTGAGTTGGAGTCTCACTCCTTCACCCAGACTGGAGTGCAATGGCATGCACACTCAGGGCTACCCCAGCGTCAACCTGCTGGGCTCCGGTGATCCTTCCTGCCTCAGCCTTCCGAGTAGCAGGAACTACAGATGTGCACTACCATGCCCGGCTGTTTTTTATTTTATTGTAGAGATGAGGTCTTGGCAAGTTGCCCGGGCAGGTCTCAAACCTGCGGGCTCATGCAATCCACTTGCTTCAGCCTCCCAAAGTGCTAGAATTATAGACTGAGTCACCAAGCCCAGCCCACAGTGGTTTTAAACTGAGTAGATGGATTTGTCTGTTTTTTCAGATTTGAGCAGAATTGATGTGCACATTTACAAATAGTCATGCATGTCTAGTGAGTTAACTCCTTTCTATGGGTCTATGGCTATGAAAAATATTCAAAAGAAGATTCTTCCCCTGAACCTCTAGTAGAAATTTCATTTTGGCTTTCCTAGATTTTTGCTGTATTAGCTGATGTCATGTCGTTTATGTCACTTTCTGGGATATTCTTCTGTTGGCAAGTTTGTTTTAGGATTTTTTTTTTCCTTTTCTTTAAAAAGGAGTTGATACTACTTATTTAGTTAAAAATAACTGTGAATCTATTTTAACTGAAAATGGGATCTGGAGAATTTAGTCTAATGTTTACTCTCTTCAGAACACTTGGAAAAGAAAGGAAAAAACAGATTGAATCTTAATAATTGTTTTTGTGTGTATTGAAATGCTATCACTGATTAGCCAAACTTCTCTCCTCTACCAGTCCCTGATCAAACTCTGGGAGTCTATGTCTACTCAAGCATTCCTTCCATCAACCCCTCTGCCTTCTGACATACTGACATATACTGAACTGGTATTGGATGATCAAGGTCAGCTGGTCCACATGAACAGGCTTCCAGGAGGAAATGAGGCAAGTAATTGAAACCCCCCTTTCCTTTCTTCTGTATTTGTGTCCACTAGTACCAGCTTTCTGTGGGGTGGTCATTAAATAGTATTGATTAAGATTCAGGGCTGGGCATGGTGGCTTATGCCTATAATCCCAGCACTTCAGGAGGCCAAGGTGAGAGGATTGCATGAGCCCACGGGTTCGAGACTGGTCTAGGCAGCTTGGCGAGAACTCATCTCTACAATAAATCAAAAATTAGCTGGGTGGGTAGCATGCACCTCTAGTTCTAGCAACTTGGAAGACTAAGGCATTAAGGATCACCTGAGCCCAGCAAGTCGAGGCTGTGGTGGCCTTGAGTGTGCCACTGCACTCCAGCCTGGGCGACAGAGTGAGACTCCGACTCAAAAAAACCCACAAAGATTCAGGTAGCGTAGGCAGCATAGTAGGCTTGTTAGTAGTGTTCTTTATAGAGAGAACATGGACTGAATAACAAGAAATTACTCATTTTTTAAATGTGATAGTGATTTTATGATTTTGCTTTTTAAAAGAAATTATTTTAACACAGTGAACTCAGTTAAGAAGTTATGAAAAAGCCGGCTTGGTGGCTCAGCCTGTAATCCTGCGCCTTGGGAGGCTGAGGTGAGTGAATTACCTGAGCCCACGGGTTCGAGACCCACCTGGGCAACTTGGCGAGACCTCATCTCTACAATAAATCAGAAAATTAGCCGAGCATGGTAGCGCACGCCTGTAGTTCCAGGTACTTGGAAGGCTGAGGCAGAAGGATCGCCAGAGCCCAGCAGGTTGAGGCTGCGGTGACCGGGAGCGGCCACTGCACTCCAGTCTGGGCAACAGAGTGAGACTCCGACTCAAAAAAAAAAGAAATTATGAAAAAAAAAAATATGTTTTATGTTAGACATACATACTAAAATATTTACAGATGCTATGATTTGCTTCCAAATAAGGAAGGATGAGGGTGAGAGTATAGATGAAACAAGATTGGTCATGAATTGGTAATTGAAGTTAAGTTATAGATAGGTGTACATGAGAATGACTTATTTTCCCTGTTTTTGTATGTGTTTGAAATTTAGAGATTTCTGTAATAATAACATTTAAAGTATTATTTCTGTTTTTTGGGGGGGTTGGAGTCTCACTCTGTCGCCCAGACTGGAGTGCAGTGGCCGCTCGCAGTCACCACAGCCTCGACCTGCTGGGGCTTCAATGATCCTTCCGCCTCAGCCTTCCAAGTAGCTGGAACTATAGGCGCGCGCTACCACACCAGCTAATTTTTTGATTTATTGTAGAGATGAGGGCTCGCCAAGTTGCCCAGGCAGGACTCAAACCCGCAGGCTCAGGCAATCCACTCACCTCAGTCTCCCAAGGCACGGGATTACAGCTAAGCCACTGAGCCCGCCTTAAAGTATTATTTGACTTAGCGTTTTTCTTTATTTGAATACTTATTTGCCATATTAATATGCATTCTTTTTTTTTAAGTATGTTTTCTATACTCAACTCATTTGACCTGGTGCTGTTGTGAGGATGACAAATGTATTCTTTTTAAAGGGACTCAGTCAGAACCAGAGACTTAAACATAAAAGAAAGTAGCAACCCTTTTTTTGGTAATTATCCAAGAATGCATTTTCTAGCCTTAGCATCCTTTCTTACATAGTCACCTATTAATAATGATATGAAGTCATATTCTGCCCTCCTCCATGTATTGAGATTCTTCCTAATTATAACTATGCTTCTAATATCCAATAATAACAATGATAATGACAGTTACAAGCCTAAAAAGAGAGATGCTTTTATTTCAACCTTAGATATAATCCTCAGGTAAATCTTATTTCTAAGAAGGAGTAATCTTTATTTGGGTATTACCATAAACAGGTTGGGTAGACCTTTGGAGATAATACACAGTTTGTTTCCATTTTGTTCAATATATTTTTCAAAAAATTTCATTATATGTGCAAGGTATGTGACTGTTTCAGTAATATACCAGTGGATGACAAAAGTAGATGATCTGGTATTAAGATGAATGCAAATATTGGACCAGAGGGAGAGTATCAGACTTGTAGGAGTTCTTCTAATCTAGTGCCTTGACAAATAGCAAAGGCAAGAGGATGGGGAGGGAGGATGTATAGAATTTTGACAAGAATAGATATGTACTTGTCAACACACAAAGTTGAAGCAGAGGTTTCTGCCACTGGGTATAGCATCTGCTTAGTGAGCCTCTCAACAGCAAAGAAAAGCTTCATTGTGCTAGACTTAAATTCTGATTCATTGAACAGTGGAATCTTCAGCAATGGAAGGCACCCTTGTGAACATGGGGCTGAGAGTAAAATGGTTTTAACTAATGTAATTAAAACACAAAATGAGATTTTTGGCCACGTGAAAGCTAGCTGCAGTGCTGTGTGAAACCTCTTGCCATGATCTTTCTCTCCTGCTTTCTTTCTGTTCTCATTCCGTGTTTGAGCGAATGGAGACTGGGGGAATAGTAAAGTCCCAGAGGGACAGAGCTCTGTTCTTGCTGAAATTACAAGCACAGAGCTGCCTGGGCATGAACATGTAGTGTTTACTCTGCCAGTATGAATACAAATAGTCTTATTATACGGGACTCTGTACCCAAAGACCACACACACACACACACACACACACACACACACACACACACACACACACACACACACACAAGAATTTTAAAAAATTAAAGGTTTTTATTAACCCTTTTAAGACCTAACAAACCTTAGTGGAAAGGGATGTCTTAAACAGTTACATAGGACTATAACTATGAGTAGTAGATCCAGTATATCTACTTTGCCCAGTGCTTTAATAGTTTTGAAACCAGAAAGCCAATGGTATTTATTTAAAAGGTTTTGGTTTTTTATCAGTTCTCTCTTCTTGTTCTGTACATTTCCTTCCTTAGCTGCCTATTTTCTTTGTTCTCTTTTTTTTTTTCAAATGATTGACTGGGATTGAGGCTGAGTATAGCTTGCTGTTTCTGAGCCTTTGAGCTCGAGAGGAGTGAGACTTATGTTCTTTTGTGAGCAGTTAGTGACTAATGCGCAGAATGGCTGGTGAAGTCAGTCAGTGGCCTTTGCTAGATTATAGGGCTCTGCATGACAGGAATGAGGCTGGAGTATTAGCATCAAACTCTGTTACCAATAGCTTGAACATACAATGGAGCATGTCCACTGAGAGACTGATCAATCTAAGGATGGAGTTTCAGCAGTTGGAACTCTGAGGGACAGCTGTGCCTAAGAGCTGACGAGGTGTCAGTAGAATGTATTTCCTCATGCTGAGCCTAGTTTTATCAGGGCAAGTTGACTTTCAGCTACTATGGTTTAATTTTCTTTGGCCAAAGAGCAAGTTTGTCATGAGTCTGGCACTCTACATATTACCCCAAGAATGATGTGAGGGGAATGAAAAGAGTCATGTTGATGAGATTTGGAGCAAATCTCTCCTGTCCCAAAGAGAATGGGTAACTGAACAGAGCCTTGAGAAATAGTTTTATTTAAAAAAAAAAGAATAAGAAATCGATCTGTTAATGTTCTGAAATCCAAGGCTCAATGTAAATGAATTGATGCTACATAGATATTAAAACATCATAATGTGGTATTCTCCAAAAGTGATGACTCTCCCAGGTCATCATCGTGGGTGGTATTGTATTACCTTGAAGAAGGGGAGTTTCTGGGTTTGAAAGATAGCACACAGATATAAGAAACAAGGATAAAACAAGAAATTCCTGCAGGGTTTTCCCATGAATTGAGATGCTTTTCTCAACGATCAAAGGCAGAAAACCTGGACTTATCAGACCATCAGATATACGGGCAACCAGTCTCTCCTCTCTATTTTTTTTCCAGAATAGTGAGTAAAATAGTGGTGGGACCAGAACATGGCCCAATTTGGTTCCAGTTAGTTTTGGTAACTTGTTTGCAATTTGAGGAAGAATATTGACTGTTTTAGCAGAGATGTGACCTGCGTTTTGAACATTTATGCCTGTGTTATAAGCAGGAGATAGAAAAGTGATGTGGTGTTAGCCATTTCCTCCTTTCTATTTTCCTAGTTGTTCCATCCCCATGAAGAAAGATGTGACTAAAGGAATGTCACCTGCATGATGAAAAGGCATAGGAGAGGCACATTTTTCTCATTGTCAGATTTGAATGGCATGAGTATGAATTTAGAATAGGAATGAAAAAGATGTAGAACAAATCTGTGAACTATGTTACTTGCAAATAGCTCCAAAGATGAGTTGCCCAGGATTTTTCTCAACAATTTCAAGTAAAGTTGAAAATTGAGGAAAATGTGATTACAACATAGACTAAACTGATTTTATTTCTAGTTACTGTGATGCTACAGTGATGAGCACTGTATGTAAATATACAGCTAGATGAATGTGTGCTGCTGAGCCTGGATACAGAAAAAATGCAGCTATCTAACAGTTCTACTTTACCACTTCTCAATTTTGGTAGAATTGTTTTCATTTTCCTGCCAGTTTGCTAACCTGTTTTGATCATTTGGTGGAAGCTGTAATTGCAGGTGGGAACATTTCGAGTAGCAGTTCACAATCCAGTGCAGCTGCTTTTCACACTAAATCCTGTTATTAAAAAGCTCAGGCTAAGATCAAGCCAAGGGTTGTAACAGACTTGACAGAGAACAACTTAACTTTGCCAGATAGGACAAAGAAAACACTAGCCTTCTTCAGACTATGTTCTTGTATGGTCTAAGTTATAAGCATTCTTTTATTTCTTTTTATCACCTCTGTGAATTAGAGCAAAGATCTCTAAATTGGGCAATGATGTAAGATATGATGATAGACAACTTTCTTAATAATTTTAGTGCTAGCCGGGCTCGGTGGCTCAGCCTGTAATCCCACGCCTTTGGGAGGCTGAGGTGAGTGGATTGCCTGAGCCTGTGGGTTCGAGACCCGCCTAGGCAGCGAGACCTCATCTTTACAATAAATCAAAAAATCAGCTGGGTGTGGTAGCGCATGCCTGTAATTCCTGCTACTTGGAAGGCTGAGGTGGAAG